AGCGTAGGCAATGTCAGGACGGGTGAACGTCAAGTATTGCAAGGCTCCAGCAAGACTCCGAAAGTCTGATGCATCTGACACAGGTGCGCCCTCTGCTGCAGCAACCTTGGGATTAGTGTCAACAGGTGTAGAACACGGCTTGCACTTTGCCATCCCGGCACGATCAAGAATATCAAGCATATACTGCCGCTGAGAGAGAAGTCCATCACTGCAACGCTAAACATGCATACTGAGGAAGTGATGCAATTCACCAAGGTCTTTCATGGCGAACTCCCGCTGGAGGGCTGAGATGATCCGCCGAAGGAGACCGACTGAGGAAGCTGTGAGGACAATGTCATCGACATAGAGCATCAGAAAGGCAGTATCTGATCCGCGCTGGTAGACAAAGAGCGAGGTGTCTGACTTGGCTTCAACAAATCCAAGGGAGAGTAAGTATGTAGCAAACCGACTGTACCAGGCACGGGGAGCTTGCTTCAAGCCATACAGGGACTTGTTCAGGCGACAAACGAAGTCCGGATGAGCAGGATCCTCGAAACCAGACGGCTGCTGACAATACAGTCTCTGTCAGGGTGCCATGCAGAAAAGTGTTCTTCACATCAAGCTGGTGGATAAGCCATCGACGAGAGGGGGCCAGGGAGACCACTGTGCGAACAGTAGCAGGCTTCACCACAGGACTGAAAGTCTCAGCAAAGTCCACACCAGGTCGCTGAGTGAAACCGCGAAGGGCCCAACGCGCCTTGTACCGCTCGAGAGACCCATCAGACTGGAATTTGTGCTTGAAGATCCACTTGCCAGTGACAACGTTTGCCCGAGGAGGTCGAGGCACGAGATACCAGGTGTGGTTCGTCAGAAGAGCATTGTGTTCCTCTTCCATAGCCGCTCGCCAATTGGGATCGGCCAGAGCGCTACGGAAGGTCTTCGGTACAGGAGACAAAGGCACAGCATGGAACGCAGCAGGCATCCTGAACCCACCCTTCGAACGCGTTGCCATGGTGTGCTGATTGATCACTGGTTGTACAGCAACAACACCCTTGAGCAGCGGAGGAGCAGGCGGGGCGACCTGTGGAGAAGCAGCCGGTGGAGACGCAGCCGGGGCAAGAGGCTGCCGGCCCGTGTAGTTCTGGGTGAAGAGACGCACCAGTCGAAGAGGCACGAACCCAGGTGGAGGGCCGCAGGGCGGCGACGTTGTAGGGGACACAGAGGCCATGTGAAGCGCTGGCGGGATTACAGCCTGCGCGTCCCAGAAGAAGCCGCCGGTGTGCTGGAACCATCGAGGGCTGTGCATGGCGCGGTAGGGCCGTCAGTGGCCGCGCGTGGCGCGGTAGAAGGGCCTACCAAGGCCCCCGGTGCGCGGAGCGCAGGAGGGATGTAGAGCTCAGGCGCCGGGGAAGCAGCAGGCGGTGCTGGTGACGACGGGGACAGCATGGGCGCCCCAGGCACAGCCGCAGAGGGACTGGCAGGGGCGCTGCTGTCAGCAGCAGGAGCGGTGGAGGCTCCGGGATAGCCGTGGGGGTGCCTGCAGTAAGAAACTTGTGCGACGGTCCAATGGGAACGGGCACAACATCAGTAGCATCAAGAAACTCAGTCCGTGGGAGCGCGACCATCACGCTTGGCAAAAGGAAAGGCAGCTTCATCGAAGATGACGTGCTTGGAGATGATGAATCTATTGGAAGAGAGGTCAAGGTAGCGGTATCCTTTGTGATGAGCGGAGTAGCCTAGGAAGACGCACAGGACGGACCTAGGAGCGAGTTTATGAGGAGCGGTGGCGGACAGATTGGGGTAACATTTGCAACCAAAGACTCGCGGATGGTCTTACGCTGGAGGTGTGCCGAACAAGGCAAAGTGCGGCGTGGAGAGCTGTAGGGTCTTGGTGGGCAAAATGTTAAGAAGCGATGTCGCCGTGGAGAGGGCCTCAACCCAATAGGAGGGGGGCATGGACGCCTGAAACAGCAGGGAGCGAACGACATTATTGATGGAGCGAATAATGCGTTTGGCTTTACCGTTTTGGGGCGAGGTGTAGGGGCAAGACATGCGAAAGTGAATGCCTTGGGTGAGGAAAAAGTTACGGGCGCTAGAGTTGTCAAACTCTTTCCCGTTATCGCACTGAACCGCCTTGACATGGGTGCCAAACTCAGTGGAGGCGTAGGCGATGAAGTGAGCGAGCGTGCTGAAAGTGTCAAATTTAAGGCGCAGGGGAAAAGTCCACAAATAGTGAGTGCAATCATCAAATATGACCAAATAATATTTGTAACCGGAAATACTGACAACTGGAGATGTTCATAAATCACAATGAATAAGATCAAACTTGCTAGATGCGAGAGGTGGACACATGAAAGGGCAGACGAACATGACGCCCTAACTGACAAGCATGACATAAATCTGAGCAATCTTCAATCTGACAGGAAACACTAGACGCAAGCTTCGACAACGCCTCATGACCAGGGTGGCCGAGACGCCGATGCCACAGCGGAGAGGCAGCCCGGGCGACAAGGGAATGTGCTGGAGGAAGGCGCAGAGGGTAGAGCGGTCCGGAGCTATTGCACCTGACGATTTCGGTCCGAGACGGAAGAGCCTTCACAGAACAACCAGCTGGGTCAAACTCAACAGAGCAATTATTGTCGGTAGTAAATTGACGAACAGAGATGAGATTCTTAATAAGTTGTGGCGACACAAGAACATTATTAAGACGTAATGTGGGTGACAACTCTGGAGCCAGTGGCTGTGACAGGAACCATAGAACCATTACCGACAACAATAGATGAAGGAGTAGGATACCGCGGGAAAAGAACATGTGAAAGGGAGGTGGACTGAGAGGACATGTGGAGGTAGCACCTGAGTCGAAATACCACTCGTTCGCCAGAGGTGGGGTCAGCGACGTCTTGCTGAAGGCGGAGGCGAGGGCCGACGGGTCCCAAGAAGGGAGGCCGGCGACAGGGTTGTAGTAGCCCGGCGTAACCCACTGACCGGTGCCATCGGTGGCAGCAGGGGCAGCAGCAGGCTGCTGCTGGGCGACAAGGCCTGCTGCTGCTGCTTTGGGCGTGTGCATTCTTTGTGGATGCTGTGGGATCGACGCCAAGGAGGAGGACCCCCCCCGGCCACATCTCGAATGGACCCCATCCGGGGTTGTAGACGGTTGGCAGTTCACGGCACCAGCCTGCTGCTGCGCTTGTCTTGGCGGCGGGGGTCACCGACCATGGGCTCGCAGAACCGTCATCGCCATCTGCTGCCTTGCCCACCGCCGCCGCTTTGCGCGCGCGATTGTAGGAAGGCTGGGAGCCACCAGCGCCCCTGGAACCGGTGCTGGACGGTGGCGGGGTAGGGCTTGGAGAGCTTGACGTGGTGGAGGCAGCGAGCGTAGTGGCAGGGGAGTCCTTCCGGTTTTCCACAGTGAGTTCCTCAAGGATGAGGTCGTCACGGGCTTCCAGAAAGGTGGGGAAGGGCCGAGCATGACGAAGAAGGGCCCCGACGTGGCTGAAGCGCTCGTTGAGGCCACTGATCACGTTGAGGACGATGGTGCGATCGGTGATGACCTCGCCAAGGGCCGTGAGATCATCAGCCATCTTCTTCAAGCGGCGACAGTAGTCGGTGACGGAGAGATCGCCTTGGACGAAGTTGCGAAACTTTGTCTCAAGGTGGATGGCGCGCGCCTCCCGATTGCCAAGGAACTGGGACAACGGCAAGCCAGGCATGCCGAGCAGTGGAGCCCTGAGCGGAGATGACTTCGGCGAGGTCGTCGGTGAGCGTGCCGACGATCCAGGACTTGTCGACGCAGTCCATCCGAGACCAGTCCGGGGAGGCAGGGACCGGAGGGTCAAGGCGGACGTGATCCTGGAGGGAGAACTTCCCAAGGACTAGCAGGAACTGATCGCGCCACCGGTTGAAGTTGCCGGAGTCGACGTCGAGGATGATGGTGACGTGAGTCCGGATGTTGTTGACGGCGACCGCCTGGGCATGCAGGTTCAGAAGGCGATGGCCTCAAGAAGGAGCATGGCGGAGTGGAGGTCGGTCGGGGAAGCCGGGGCGGCTCCGGAGGATTCGGCATCAGAAGGCGTGGTGGCGGCCGCGCGCTCCTTGGCGGCGCGCGCCAAGGTCTCGCTGGCGTGCTGGGCAGCGGCGTCGCGCTCCTTGGTGGTGGCCGCGGCCTCCTCCTCAGCCTGGAGCGCGCGCGCCAAGGCGGCATCGCGGCGCTGGGCGGCGGCCGCCGCCGCGTTGGCCTTCTCCTGGGCAAGCTCGTCGGCCTGGACGGTGGTGAGAGAGGCATTGGCGGTGGCGGCAGCCAGGACATCATCATCCGCAGGCTTGGGAGTGGGCGGAGAGGAGCCAGGCATGGCGGCGTTGCACGATGTGGACCGGCGCGCGAGAGGCAGCGGAGAAATAAGATCTTTAGGCGGCTGATACCATGTAGTGAGATATGGCACAGGGAAACTATCGATAGATTGATAGAATACAGAGGAGTACAATATATATAGGCAAGGATCAAGTAGGGTTTATAGAATACACCCAATCAACGGAGATCCTTGCCTAATCTGTAGTCATCTACCATAAGCCTATTCTAACAGGATCCTCCTAGTTGACTTGGCTGGCTGAGTTGGGTGACATGTTGACTAGACATAGACTCAGCCTGCTAATCAACTTGGAGGCTCCCTCCAGCTCGCCATACACGATGTAATCACATACCTAGTTTTTTTTTCTCGAACACGCAGGAGAGCTGGTATCTTTGTATTAAAGAGAGAAAAAGGGAAGAGAATCCCATAACAAGCAACCTCCTTACCCCGCCTAGAGAGGGTTTGAGGAGGTCACGTAGCACCAGAAAAAAAATCGCCTGATATACATCAAGAAACGACCCAACCAGAAAAACAAAAAACTCTCACCAGACCTTCTATCACGGTCAGACCTAGTTGTGATGTGTAGGTTAGACTCATGGTTCTCTTGTGATCTTGTCTGATCTGAATACTTGTAAATCGATTGTTTTAAGAAGACTAATGATTTCTATTATGCAGGTGCACCTACTTGTATGATACTCTGAGGCCTAGACTGATATATGAAGGAAATATTGATTCTCTCTGCGAACTTGTTGATATTCTGAAAGTTGAAGTGCTGGGGGAACAACTAAGTAGACGCGGTGAATCAGTAGCTGGTCTCCGTCCAATATTGCAAAGGATACTTGCAGATGTTCATGAGCGGCTAGCATTTTGTGCTCGGACTCATATCCGCGAAGAGGTAGTGCTCTGTGTGTCCATATGTTGACTGATGATTCTATGTCTTTCCATCAGTATACATTTTATCGGGCTCCTATATGTTACGAGAATTGTTCCTTAACATTCAGATCAACTTCCAGTAACTGTGTTAAGTTTATACTTAACCTGCAATGTTCTGAACTTCTGATGTGACATCATGGGAGAACCTGAAACTTGATAATTGAAATGGTCACTTTGGCACTATGCACTAATGACAAAATAATTGGTGCGCATTTTAGTTATCTGTGTAAACATGAGTAGTTGAGTGGACCTATCGCGACATATGACCATATTATGCACTGTTGAGCACGCGTATGTATTAACACTGTCCAAAGAAAAGAAATAGGGAGGTCGTTGGAGGCTCTTATTTAAACTTTGAATATATTTCCCTCGAGTTCCAGTGAACTTTGGCTTAAGCCATATTTGTGATGATACTCATAAGATACACTCCAGCATACATGACTTACAGAGTAAGCTTGAGTCCCTTCAAACAAGACCTGGAAGCATCTGGATACTTTGTTGAAGGTTTAATTCTGCCTGAAAGTGGCGACCTTCCAGTAATTGGTTGGACCTGACCTTATAAGATAGCACCTTTTATTTTCATTATCCTTCACAAACAATAGGTTTTCTATGTTTAGGTCTTTGTGCAGCTACAGTTTTGTAATTAATGTAAACTTTTCTTATCTCTCTCTTTTTTTTTTCCAGATTGCAAATTTCCGCCCTTCTGACGAAGATCTGGATTATCCTGGGAAACTTGAACGATCTGTGGGTACATCTTCAAGTGCTACTGTTAGTTTGCTTCTCACTTATCGCAATTGGTTCTTTCCATTTTACTCTTTCTATTCCAACATACTCTCCAGTAAAAAAAAATAGTGTATCATTTCTTGACATCAGCATGGTGAATAACACACTACTTTGACCACTAATTGCCTGTATGATATGTATGCTCCACCTGACCCAAAATGGCACTCGTTTGTGACAGTTACATATGTTTTTTTATAAAAGCACATGGTTCTTATTACTGGTTCTATTTGTTTTAACTTGTAGGTTGGTGACAACTCGGACATATATGTAACATGGTACAGACCATTGGAGAAAACAGTTTCATGCCTATCAAAGCTATATCGCTGCTTAGAGCCATCTGTCTTCACTGGATTAGCCCAGGTACTGGACCTATAAAAGTTAAGATCATTTATCTCACTAACCATCCATTTGCTGACCGTTTCTTTTTCATTTAACTTGACAATACATATTAATCTGATTGCCACCAGGAAGCTGTAGAAGTTTGCTCAACATCTCTTCAGGTTGGTATACAATTTTCGGCCCAACTCCCTCCTCGTTTCTTGTTTTCCATGGGGAACGATCAAGATAAAACACTATTCCTGTTTTTATGCTATGATGTATTATCCTACTATTTGTTATTCTGAGACACTCTATTGATGTTGTGAACAGAGTGCAAGCAAGGTCATCTCAAAGAAAGGTACCCATATGGATGGCCAGCTTTTTCTGATTAAGCACCTCCTCATTCTACGGGAACAGGTGTCCATCTATCTGCGGTTCATGAAAATTTTCGTTTTGTTCATTAATTTCATCTTGTGACTCGTAAGGTACATACCTGTTTGCAGATTGCTCCATTTGATATTGAGTTCTCTGTCACACATAAGGAATTGGATTTCTCCCATTTATTGGTATTTATTACAAAATTTATCCCTTCCATATGTGCATGTCATTTGCATGAGAACATTAATTATTCTAGGTATATATGTGTTCTTTTCTCTTAATTCTGATTCTCTCAAATAAAATTCTAAGTTCCATTCTTTTTTTATGTTTTTAGTTTAAATTGGTACCTATCATACAATCATTGCATTTCATTTGGAATATATTGTTTCTGATTGCTAACTAATGCAAATCAATATTTGCAGGATCACCTAAGAAGGATTCTCAGGGGTCAGGTCTCGTTATTTGATTGGTCAAGGTCAACATCACTAGCTAGGACCTTTTCTCCTCGTGTTTTGGAGAACCAAATTGATGCCAGAAAAGTAACTAACTTGACCTGAAGCCTTTTTGTGGTTTGTCCTATAATTTGAAGATGCATATTTGTTTGCTTCTCCTATAAATTTACTGTTCCATATTAGTCCAGATATGTGCATGCATTACATAGAATGAAGTTGCACATTTAGATAAAGTAGGGGATACCTGATCGGCTTTAATATTTTCTAGTTGCTCACATCTTTCTTTGATTTGAGCTTATTTTGGTATTGTTGTTTTATTTCAGGAGTTGGAGAAAAGCCTTAAAGCTACCTGTGAAGAGTTTATAATGTCCATAACTAAATTAGTAGTGGACCCAATGCTTTCTTTTGTTACTAAGGTAGCGATATCTAGCCTTCTGCAGAACTTATTGCATAATTTTGGTGTCCTTTATGTACCGTACTTGCAATATATAGTACCTCATTTGAACCCTTGCTATGTTTTGTGTATTATCCCGTCAACCCATGAAGGCCTGGAAAATTGTTAGTTATTTGTTAGTAAGAGCAAACTTTGAGGTTCTTCACTGTATTCTTCTGTAATTACTCTTGTTTGACTACTACTGGAAGGGTTTAGGGTTTACTATGCAGTAAGATGGGGCAGTATGAAAACTACAGAACTAGTATGGTGTGAGTAACCGTAATGCCTACTAAGATGTAAATCCCTTTTACCTTTTATATGTTAGAATGTGATCATGGCGTAACTCTGGCAGGTAACTGCCGTCAAAGTTGCATTGTCCTCTGGTAGCCAGGGTCAGAAATTAGATTCAGTTCTAGCAAAACCCTTGAAGACTCAAGCTTTTGCTTCTCCTGATAAAGTTGCTGAGCTGGTTCAGAAGGTGCCTTTTCAAATTCTTCAGTATATGCAAGCAAATATGAATGTTTTCTTTTCCCAAATGTTATATGAAAAGTTGTTTTCCCTGAACAGGTTGCCGCTGCCATTCAACAAGATTTGCCCAAAGTAATGACCAAGATGAGGTTGTATTTGCAAAATCCATCTACTCGGATGATCTTATTCAAACCTATCAAGTAAGGATATCATCCCACTTATCCATACACTTTTTTTTGCCTTCCAGATTTTTAAAGGAATATCCAGGTCTTGTGAGCTTAGTTCAAGAATTAGATTTGAGCCAAAATCAGCATAATATTTTTCACTATGTTCATAATTCAGCACAAAAAGTCTAACTTGTGTAAATCTTAAAAATCAAACCAAATGTTTTTATACATCTTAGCCCTGGTCTACCAATTTCACTGATTCTCTGTACCCGACATTGAATTACTGATTGTTTGAAGCATGTGAACTCAGTTACACATTGCCAGCTTAATGAATTAATTGTGTCACTTATAGTCTGCCAAATTTGCACTTCCATAAGAAACCTGTCATTTCAATAATAATAATATCAATAATTGTACTTTCTACCTTGAAATTGTGATGAATCATTCTGGGCTCCTTCGGATCAATCATTCCCCATGGGATTGAAGGGGGTTGAGGGGGGAATTAGTTCATTTGCCCCTCAATCCCCTCCAATCTCCATGGGAATGGGTGTATCCAAAGGAGTCCTGAGGGAGACACTGGCCAGGGTTCAAATCCCAGCGAGGAAAAAAAAACTCGCTGGCAACCTAAAAAGTAATGGCAGTGCTGGTCTTTGGCTCTTGTGGTTGGTTTGGGCCCTCCTACCAGGGGGTAGTTGCGGTGGTCGCCAACCCAGAAGGTCGTGGTTGGCTCAGGCTACGTCGTAGCCCTATAGGGTGAGGCTAGGGATTGGGGGCTTTTTCGACCTGTGTGGTTGAGGCAGCTTCTTAGTCATAATGCCTTGTGAATCCCTGGACTGATTGTGTATGTGTTGTATACTGACATATCATTCCTATAGAGTATTTTGATGTGAGTTCCTTGATTAGTTTGGTGCATACAAGGTCATCAAACCTCATGAAATTATTGGAAACCTATGTGGCAGGTTGCAGCAATTTAAAGTGTGCTATGGTGTGTGCTGCTATTTGTGTTATGGTAGTATATAACTTCTAATAGATGGAGTGATTAACATGGTGGTTTCCACTATGAATGAAACTAAACTACTGGAAAATTAATCTTTATTGTTTCTTGATTATCTAACTGTGCTACTTTAGTGTACACAGAGAACCTTTCCTAAATGTAAACTGGAGAAAAGGTGAAGCACCATTTCCAAAGTATTTCTTCTTATTATGCCTTTCTCTTTGGCCACAGGACAAATATAGTTGAGGCTCATATACAGCTGCAGTCCCTTCTGAAGTCAGAATACTCCACTGAAGAAATGCAATCAATTGGTACGTTGCCGATACCTGATCTGCAGTCTCAGCTTGACAGCCTTTTGTAGCTTGCATACAGTTGCAAAGCGCTCCTATAGTCCTTGTTGAGGTTGCAGTGCAGTTCTTTCAAGTAACCAAAGCAAAGCTATCACAATTCCGAACCTCTACCAGATTCCTGTTGTAACTTCTCACTGTTTTATATTGAAAAATGGAAATGGAACACCTCCCATGATACATGTGACCGTGGACAATCTGGAAGTTCGAACTCAGTCCCCGTGGTGACTTCTGTATATTGTACACGCACGTTGGTTCATCCTCAGAAATTGACTGTTAGTGAAACCTGCCTATCGTGGCATAGTTTCAACGGATGATGGGTACGCAACGCATCTCACACCTTTTTTAGAGTACTACAGCGAAATCCATTGGAAGTTTCCTACTCTTCTAGACATCTAAATTTTAGATAGGCGTGTCAAATGGCTCAGTTCCATTTGCTAGAGATTCCGGTCCACTTGTTGCACCAGATTCGTGTGTGAAATAATGTGATGCCTTTTGAGCGTGTTGTGGGGTTTCTGGCTTGCGAGTGGTGACACGCAGCTGGTACTCGTAGGCATCAACCGCGGGTCACATATAGCTGCGGGCATATCCGCGCTGCAAGCAGCCTGGTGCTCAGCTGCGTGCAGAGGCGACCAGGGGTTCTGCAGCGAGGAGTGCCGGTGGCAGCAGATCCTGGTGGACGAGGCGCGCGAGCGGGAGGCGGCGGCGCTGATGAGCAAGCAGGAGCTGCAGCGGCGAGGGGAGGCCCGCCACCACAGCCCCCACCCCACGCCCATCCGGGGCAGGCCGCCGCCGAGGAAGACACTTGCCGTAGCCTAGCTAGAGGTCCATCGAAACGATCCGGATGCCTAATAAACCGATAGCGCTGAGAAGGACGAAAGATCTCATGGTGCATGACGAGAAGAGCACTACTACTACTAGCTAGTACGATCTACTACTGGAGCGGAGTGGTTAGAAATCCTCTCTTCTAATCACCGAGAGGATGAGCACTACAACTAGAGACGAGACGACTTGTGTTGTCATCATCAACCAATAAGCAATCAAGCTATATACTGTATCATATATAGTGATGTGTGATGCATGCTGTAGTGGCTATCATATAGTGATGCATGAGCTGAGAGGTGGGGCCGGTTGGAAATAAAAGGGACTTGGCTACCAGAGAGAAGTTGATTGGGTGTTTTTTTTTTCTAAACTTTTTTTCGCATGCTGCAATCTTGAAGCTAAAGCTGTACTGTAGCATGCTCTTGTTACTTAATTACATCCGGTTGATTTTTCAAAAAAGCATGGCAAAGAAAGTGGAGGCAGGAACAATCCAGAAGAGTATATCTTGTTTCCTTGGTGCGTGTCTCTCAGATTCGTTAGGTTTCAGTTGTGTCCAACGTTAACGCGTGACCGGCCGGAATTGATTCTGGTCACTTGCTAAGTGGCAGGCTGGCAGCTAAAGAGGGATGCCCTGTTTAATTCCATCGATACCTATAGCAAGCAAAAGGAATTTAGGAACTGGACGGGACGATAATTGTCATATTGCATCTCCAACTTTTTGCCTGGGAATTCAGCTGGAGGCTCAAACGCGTGTGGAATCTCTATTGCATTGCACGTAGTACGTGTTTCACGAACCAAACGAAAAGGTCCGGAATTAGAATCGGCCCTTTTCGTTGGATGTGGGCCCACATAACCTGATTCTAGTTGCCAGTCAAATATCAAGACCATTTACGTGCTGAATTATTATCATAGTCTAATTTTTTTTCCTTCAAACTCTATCTAAAGCCAAATACCTTAACCCCTCAACTCTCATAACTATTTAAATTACCTCTTTACACCGATTAGAAGTGGTCGTCAAGACGCGGTTCCATCTTTTTTAGTTAATATTAACTATTAAAAAAGTCCAACAAATACCTGAGAAGTTTTTCAAACCATGAAAAATGTCTCTATAAGCTTCTAAAATTTTTGGGACAAATCCTAGAAATAGACTGGGACACGACAAAGCCAAATATAATATCTAGGGATCGTAAAAGTAAAGCTTCCAAAAATTATATTTGGCTCAAGGAAGATGGGAAAAATGCCAGGAAAATCCGAAAAATTCATCAAACATTATAATCGTGTCTAAAACATGTTCTGAAAACTTTCCACAAGAAAATATGAGATGCGACCAGCTTGAAAATTCATTAAGCCTTAAATGTGTGTTACATTCTTACCAGTTTCAAGTTTTTTTTGTAGTGTAAAGATTTTAAAATGCATTTCTACATTAATCATTTTTTTTGGGAATTTTCCAAAAATTTTGGATGATTTCCCATATTCCTAGGAACTTATAAAAATATCTTCATGAGCTCTAAATATTTTGCTTTTGTTTTTTGTGTTCCAATATGCCTCTAGGATTTTTCTTGTAATTTTATAATCTTGAAGACATTTTTTGTGATTTTAAAACCTTATATGGTATTTTACCAAATTTTTATAATAACTATAAAAACATGATAAAAACCATCTTGAGAACCGCTTCTAACCCAAGCTAGGAGATAATCTAAACGGTTTTGAGAGTTGAGAGGGTAAAACATCTAGTTTTGATGTTCCAGAAGAAAAATAAAGGAGGTGAAATGGATTTTTCCCGTCAACTTTTTTTTTTTTGAGAAACCCTCCGTCGATCTATATGGTGGACCATAAAGTCCATGAGTGAGGAATTGTGAAAGGCCCATGGGCTGGAACTTCGCCAACACGTTTGTTTGTTTCCATGCATCCATCGACGAACGAACTCCAAGAAGTTTTACGCGCCGCCGCCTCGCTATCCTATAAACGCCGCGCCTCACATGCAAACAGCAACCTCCAAATTAAACCCTAGCAAGCTCGTGCAATCCTCTTCCATTGACCATTACAATAAGCTTTCCCTAGCCCCGAGCAACGACGATGGCAGCGCGCGCTCTTTTGTCATCCCGTCTCGCCGGCCATTACGGGCAGGAGGCGGTGAACTGCGGCCGCCGGGCGTTCAGCGCGGCGGCAGCGGCGGTGGCGCGGAAAGAGCCTGTCGAAGTGGCCGGCAAGGCAAGGCCGGCGGCAGCGGCGGATAAAGCGGCGGCGGCAAAGGTGGAGGAGGAGGAGGAGTCCTTCTGGATGAGGGACCCCAAGACGGGATGCTGGATGCCGGAGAACCACCTGCACGACGTCGACGCAGCCGACCTCCGGGCGCGGCTGCTCTTCTCCAAGAAAGATTAATTTGGTTGACGAGAGAGTCGGCGGGATGCCATGCATGCACGATCAGTAATGCCGATCTTCTTATCTAGCCTCTATTCGTTTTTTTTTTGACAACACAGCCTCTATTCGTTGTATTCGCGCAGGTTGACGTGCAAAAGACGTTTCGATTCGCTACCTGTGTTCATTGGACATTTGATTGGACTGTTGGACATATTGAACAACATTGCTTATGGATTTGTGTAGGCTGTGTGACGAGCCGAGCGTCAGCATTGCGGGGTCTTAATATGTTCAGATTTCTGAACGGTGAGACTATGGGGCACTGTATCAACGTTAAGTGGTTGTTTGGATTGGATCTCTAAAATTTAAATCTGTTTTAGCTAATACCAGGATTTTTAGGAAAACCAGTTTTGAATTGGTTAGTTAGCGCGAGTTCTATCAAAAATGTGTTTGGACCGCTTCTCCTCCCAGGGAGAGCAAGAACCGGGAGACAAAGCCCGAGCCATAGTAGGGGCGATGGAGGATCCTGCATGCGGGGAGAGCAGGGACTAGGAGGTTAGTCGGCTCATCGTTTGCAATCCTCACGAAGTGCTCTGCCTCCATCCCACCTCCTCTCCTCCGGGGAGAGTAGGGACTGGGAGGCAGAACCCAAGCCGTAGGCGAGGCGGCGGAGGAGCCTGCGCGTGGGGAGAGCAGGGATTGGGAGGTAGAGCCCGAGTCGTAGGGGAGGTGGTGAAGGAGCCTGTGTGCAGCGGCAGAGCAGGGTCACGGTGATGACTGGAGTCTAGAAAGCGAGAGGGAGTAGTAGGAAATGGGGGAAATAACTAAGGAAGCAGACTGTGATATTTTATTTTATCCAAACATGGTTTTACTTAAATTGGTTTCCAACCCGAAGCGGCCCAAGCACATCTTTAATAAAACGGTAATGCAACGTTACAACGTACGTCCAGAATCTTAAAAAAATCAAACGTTCTACTCCATGCTCGCTCCGTGACTAGCCCAATAGGCCCATCTACGCTCTCTCTCTATCTACTCCATCTACACTGTGACAGTCGTAAGAAATACCACACTCCTCGCTTCGCTCATCGCGGCTCACCGCGCCATCCGCCGCCCCAAGCTGCCTCACGGCGGCACCCCATCCCACGTCGGGCCACGCCACGTCTGCCGCCACGCCGTGCTCCATCCCCCGCCATGCCCACTCCGCCTCGTCGCGTCGTGCCCGGTCCCCGCCCCTACGTGACGTGCCCCGTCCCTCGCGCACATCGAGGTGTTGCCGACGTCGTCATTCCCCACCAAGAGGTCATGGCCGCTGTCGACGCCGGTGCCGCTACGACGCTCGACCTCAACTCGCGACATCACGAGATCCGGAGTGACTAGACCCGGAGCGGGCTTCTCCGGATGCACCTCGCACTCCCTTCCTCGGATGTTGCAAGCGTATGTTTCAAGTGTTTCCGATGTTCCAGAGGTATGCTGCAAGTGTTTTATTTTGATGTTGCAAAAGTAGATCGGGATGTTGCATATGTTGCAAAGTGTTTCAGAGGCATGTTGCAAGCGTTTGATCAAAATGTTTCATCTGTTTCAGACGTATGTTGCAAGCGTTTTTGATCTGGATGTTGCAAATGTTTCACATATGTTGCAAGAGTGTGTTTGAAATGTTTCAGTCATTTCAGTCTTATGTTGCAATAAGTGTTTTCATGTTACAAGTTGCAAATATTTTATCTGGATGTTGCATGTGTTTCACACACATGTTGCAAGAGTATGTTTCAAATGTTTCATCTGCTTCAGACGTATGTGTGCATTCAAGTGTTTCATGTTGCAAGTGTTTCGTGTTTCATAGGTATGTTCAAAGAGTCATGGGGCAAGGCACGGCTCGGACGCCAAGGGAAGGAGCGTGATGAGCCGTGGGCCGGCGGATGGGGCGCGCACCGCGCCTGGGGTCCTACGAACGGGGCGTGCTCGTCCTCATCCTGACTCCCGGGTCTCGCCCGCGTGGAGAAAGAGGGGGGGTCACGGGGAAGCAACGGCGTGTGCGGGGCGGAGTACACGTGCGGGGCGAGACAAGGCAGACGGAGGACTAAAACGATACGATGGGAGTGCGATGCGTTTCTGATGGGCCGTTCGGGTGCCATCAATTCCCTTAATAAAACTCATGCTAACTAACCAATTCAAATCTGGTTGTGCTAAAATATTGTTTAAAACTCATTTAGCTAAAACAGGTTTAAATTTTAGAGAGATGAAAAAACATGTAGGCATTTAACCAAAGTTTTGAAGATTCTAGGTGCTAAAAGTGTAGCATATAGTCACCACAACTTGTTGTTTAACACAAGTTCTAAAGAATATGGGTGCTAAAAAACACCGATGACATTTGCTCATCGACCCTCACATGTCGAAGACCATGTCATCGTAAAGTCAAGATGACACACTAATGGTTTAGTATAATTTATGATGGTTTGGACTCCACGTAATATAATTAGCATGTTTAGGGTGCCAAAAATAAATTTTGATGAATGGTTTAGTATAAATTTTTTATTTAGACTCCATGTAATATAATTAGCAAGTTTCGGGTGCCAAAAATACATTTCGAAAGTATCCAAGACCTAAATAAAAGTGGTTTAAAAAAAGACCTAAATAAAAATAGTAGACAAGTTCAAGGGCCACAAATGAAATTTACTCAAAAGAATTATACCATAGCGAAACACATCTTTTGAGGTTACTAACGACAAATTGTTCCTGGAACACAGGAATTTGTTAGCGCACCTAGATTCAGGTTCCTTTAGAACGCAGGGATTTTATAGGAATCCTACAAAAAAACACCTACATTTAAGTAACTTTGTAACACAGGAATTAGGAATTTTATAGAAATTATACAAACCGTACAGGAATCAGCTCATTTTAAAGAAAAAACACAAAAAAGCTGCATCCCAATTTCCAAAGGGGGGCCTCAACTGTTGCGGTAACACATACAAGTATTCAATAATACAGGTCAACACTACAGTCTGCACATCCTTAACCACTATTCTCTACCCACACCATCATCCCTAAGAATTGGGGTAAAAGGTGAAAAATAACATAAGCCAATTAACATATTTCATGGTGCAGATGTTGTATTCTCTAAGCCATTGCCTACTTGTACAGGCAATGGTGGCTTCTCGTATTTCGCATGGCTACACTTGGGACAAATGTATTACAACCCGTCTGTCTTTGAGTAGTCCTGTTGCCACAGCAGCCAAGTCAATTTGTAACCTAATTTTTTAGAATTCCTCAAAGGAAAACAAAATGGATGCTTTAGGATCAGCAAGCTTCTACTTTGAAGTTGCCTAGCCCTTGCCGTCTATCACAGCCAAGGTGGACCCATTCTCCACATACTCCACAGTTCACCCAATCACCCAGATCACTACTGTAAATATACATAAAGCAACATGTTAGAATCTACAGAAATGAAAAAGAGAGACGTCAGATATACTAGAATGAAATCAAATCCTCAAACCTGCGGCAAAACAAGCAACATTCCTCTTCAATGTCGTCATGGGCAAGTTCATATTCCAGCAAGTACGTCTCATAATGCCTTTTTAGGGTGTTCCCAACACCCTAAATGTAAAAGAATGCATGATTAGAGTTTTAGTATAATGTCAAATTAACCAGACAGCCAGATTACATGTTCATAATAATAACTGAGTAGTAAACAATTGGCATCGTGTACTCCAAATAGCTGAAGTAGTGCAAAAAATTATTTTAAAATACATTTTTCCTATATGCTAACAAATAACAGGGCAAATCTATGTATGTTAACATCAGAACTACAAAAATATAATAGCATAGAAAATAGCAAATTTAAAATCTTCCCACTTTCTCAGTACGATAGCAAGTAAATGAAACAAAAACAAGCATACCGTCATTTTGTTTGTAACTGTATGGTTGCGCATCTTTGAAAAGACTTGACCTTTCCAATTTATGCCATTGCCTAAATGAAAACCACCTCGGTATACCACCTGGATGATGACAATCAGATAATTTGTCAGCCAAAACATTTCAGCGTCACCAGTTTTTTTTTAATGGCACTATTTTCTGGGTGATAACAGCACCTCAAGAATTTTCACATTGAAGTTCTTTTTCTAGAAATGTGATACTTTTTTTCTTTTAATGGGAGTGGGATTATCCCCAAAGCAATATTAAAAAATTGGCACTCAAACTGATACATGAGAACAGCAGTGTGCAACTACCTCTTTGTATAAGTTATATAAATCAAGACGCTTTGAATTTAACACTGCATCAGGAAATTCTGCCAGTCCTCCCTGAGGTACAAGTCGGTCGTGGCCCCTCTGAAGTAGGAACTGCGTGACATCTTTCAAGGAGTCTTCCTGCAAAAGATAGCACAAAATGAGGGGATATTTACTAGGAAGATGTTTCGGCACAAAAGGAAACAAAAGGATGGTCCAGAAGTGTACTTCAGAGCAAAGGTTGATAGGCAACCGATTGCACTCATGCTTCTTCATTGGCAGAGGATTCAATGGGATTGACGGCTGAACAGTGACGAGGATGATGGTGACCCGGATGATGATTTTTCTGAGTCACTTTGATAAAAGGTACTGTATTGTCCTTTATAGGAGGGGCTGGCAAACTAGGCTTAACTTGACTAGCATCATGAATGATGGACTGAACAAACCTCATAAAGGGATGCATTTGTTGCTTGCGGGAGTGGGGAATGGGTCTCATTGTTGCAGGCTTTAACCTTGGTTTCAATGATGATAGGGACATCTTATTATCCCCTCCAACTCCTTTTGCACCAAATGACATCTGTTTTGACTCGATACTTCCAGTTCCAGTGGCTCTATCCTTAGTAAGGGATGCTGACCAGCTTGATAGATAGGCATATGAGACATTTTGAATAGCTTTATCTTTGCACTGGTTAGAGCAAAAGAAAAGAAGCCGATCAGCATCCTGCCTATCAAATGAGGACACTGGTGTACCATTTACCCAAGCGATTCCAAGTGCAACCAAGCTTCTGTAGGAGATTTCTGGCGCAAGATGTTTCAAAACCTAGGCAATTAATTAAACATAATCTTCGTTAATAGATGGAAAAGGATCTGTTCACATATAGTTATGGAAGGAAATTATAATCGAACCAACACCACGGGAATAAAAAATAAAGAACACAAACTTGAAAACTCAAAAGAAATTCCCTTAAACAGAAATCCACCCAAAACAGCAGGGCACATTCCTACAGTTTGAAATTTCGAACTCGACAGTATGAGATACTTTTCTAAGCAAGCAGCAACACTAGGCCTGGAGTACTAAACAAAGTTCAGGTTTACAAAAACTAACAGCTACTCCCTCTGGTCCAGTTTATAAGGCGTCTTCTAACATGGCATGTCTCCTAAATTACACTTTGACCATTCATTTATTTGATATTATATTATTTATGATTATAAGCATATGATTATTGGATAGTACATTAGATTACAAATCTAATAGTATCAAGTTTGTATTACAATAGTTAAAAAGTTATTAGCCAAATTATTGGTCAAAGATTATAAAGTTAGACTCTTGACCTACGCAAAATGCCTTATAAACTGGACTGGGGGAATATAAAATAAAATAGGGTGCCAAGATCATTGATGTCTTCTCATTTCGTTAGAGCATGAACAATGGGGGTACTGGAGATGCTTGCAAAAAAAAAGTGGGGTTTACCCTATGTCATTTCACCCAGGTGTTTATAAACGGACAGATGCTTAAGTTTGCTCATGGTGCTTAAGTGTACTACCTCCGCCCTGAAATATAAGGGCAAGGTTTGTCCTAGGTCAAACTATTTTAGGTTTGACAAAGTGTATAGAAAAGAGTATTAGCATCTACCACATCAAAGAGGTAAATTATGAAAATATATTTCATAATGTATCTAGTGATGACCATTGGTATCGTAAATATCATTATTCTTTTCTATGAACATGGTCAAAACTAGGATAGATCGATTTAGGACCCAGCTCCCCAAAAATAACGTTCGACTTGCATCACATCTAAAACTTTTATTCTGTTAGTCGCTGAATTCTCACTCTTAGTAGGAGAATTCTTACTCTCATCGAGAGAGGATGACACTAGGAGTTGGGGCAATTTTCTTGTCTATTTCTTACTCAAATGCCATGCCAACCTGAGGGGTTGGGGTTACATATTTATAGGCTGCTAGCCAGCCAAGCATATGCCAAGATGCTAGTCTAAGATGCTAATATGCTGTCCTACCTAAGATGCTGTCCTCTAGTCTAAGATGCTGTCCTCTAAGATGCTGTCCTGCTGTCCTCTAGTCTAAGATGCTGTCCTAAAAGCGAGAAGACACATAAGTAGTGTGGTCTTTGAGATGTGCAGGCCTAGGCAGGCGCGCGGCCAGGCCGAGGGTGATGCCATGAGGCGCCAGTATGAGGCGCCGCAGCACAAGCCGAAGAGGCGACACACCATAGCAATCGGTGGGCTGGCCTTTGGCCATTGGGCAAGGATCGTCGACAACCACGACGCTGCCAGGCCCACGTCGCACAAAGGAGGAGGAGCCGGCTCTGTTCATGGCACATGCCAAGATCGAGCTACTCCAGTGCACCACAAGCAGCGGCTCTCCTCCACCTTGACGAGCCAAAAGCACACGCCCTCCTCGGCGACGGCTCAAGCAACAAGATCGACGAGTGGTGCTCGACACCGGCGCCACCCATCACATGACCGGTCGACGGGAGTTCTTCACCGAAGCTTGACTCTATCGTCCGAGGCTCCAGTCAAGTTTGGGGATGCCTCCGGCGTGGAGATCAAAGGCGTCGGCTCCAAAATCATCTTCACCATCGCGGTGTCGGTGAGCACAGTCGCTCACCGAGTCTACTACATCCCGCGTTGAGGAACTCCATCATCGGCTTGGGGACGGTGGATGAGAACGGTTCGCTGCGTGGTGGTTGAGGACGAGTCATGAGGATTTGGGATCGTTGTCGTCGCCTTCTTGCCAAGGTATCCGAAGCGCCAAATCGACTCTACGTCCTTAACGTGAGTGGCACAACCCTCTGTCTCTCGCGCTCGTCGGGACGACAAGGCGTGGCGATGTACGCAGTGTTCGGGCACCTTCACTTTGAGGCCCACGGCGGCTCGGTGCCACGGAGATGGTGCGGGCTGCCGTGCCTCGACCATGTGGAGCAGCTCTCTGACGCGTCACGTGTTGACGGCGGAAGGAGGCGACTCCCCTTTCCACGGCGGGCTAGTTTTCGAGCCAAGGAGAGGCTCGAGCTTGTGTACGTTGCACATGGGGACTTGTGTGGCGTGACACCGCCACACCGGGAGAACGATGCTACTTCTTCTTTCGCTCGTCGTCGACGACCTCTCCCGCTACATGTGGGTGATGGTCCTCGGCGGCAAGAAAAGAGAGAGGTCTGCGGACGCCATCGCGCTGTGAAGCTTTCTGCGCGCGAGTCTTGAGAGCGCTGCCACAAGCTGCGGCGTCTCTTGCACCAACAACGGCGGGTGAATTCGCGTCATCACCGGCCGACGAGGGCATTCGGCGCCACTACTCGCCGTCTGACTGCGCGCGCAGAGCAGCGTCGTCGGCGGCGCAACCGGATGGTTGTGGGGATGGCTCGGGCCCTCCTCAAGCGAGAGGGGATGCCTGGTACATCTCTCGGGAGAGGCGGTGGTGGCGGCCGTCTACATCCTCAACCGCCGCCTACCAAGGCGCTCGACAGTAGGGACGCCGACGAGACTTGGCATGGGCGCAAGCCGGCGGTCTCCCACTGCGGGTCTTGGCGCCTCTCTAGCGTTCGCCAAGGAGATTGGCCACATCGGCAAGCTCGACGACGCGAAGCACTCGGGAGTGTTCATCGGCTACGCGGAGGGCTCGAAGGCCTACCGCATCCTCGACGAAGACACGCTGGCGTGTGCGCGCGCAGCGCGACGTTGTGTTCGACGAAAAAGCGAGGATGGGCGTGGGACAAGGCCGTGGGCGATGGCTCGGCTCGACGCGTCACGACGACTTCTTTGTCGAGTCACGTCCACCGAGGGAGTTGGGGAGTAGGCGCTCTTCTCTTCTTGGCGAAGCGCGTCTACCCGATCCACGAGCCTCCACCGACCCGGCGCTTGCTACTCGACGGAAAGACACACTCTCCACCGGGACCTCGGTGCGATGAGTTCTTCGCCGGCTCCACCACGGTAAGCAACGCCACGCACTCCAAAGATCGACAGGCACCTCTCCGGGCACGTCTACTCGCCGTCGTGTCGAGCACGGCCGATTGAGCTTCGCTACTCCGCTCTCTCACGACGAGGCGCGGATCGACGCGCATACGCACGACGACGGCGAGCCATTGCGGTACCGTCACGATGGAGAACCTTCTCGGTGACGATACCGATGCCGGACCGGTGCCTCACAACCGAGGCGCGATTGCACCTTGCGTGTGACGACGGCGAGCCTCGGTCGTATGCAGAGGCCAAGAGACAGAACCTGCATGGCATGGCGCGCGATGCGATTGAAATGGATGCGGTTGAGAAGAACCGCACTGGGAGCTTCTCGACCTTCCTCGTGGTCACCGCGATCACCCTTAAGTGGGTGTACAAGTGAAGAGGATGAAGCCGGTGCCATCGTCAAGCACAAGGCTCGCTTGGTGGCACGAGGTTCGCGCGGCGGAGGAGAGGGTCGACTTCGACGACGCCTTTGCTCTCCGGGTACGGATGGAGTCCGGCGACTCCTTCGCGCTTATTCGCCGGAGGGCTGCCGTGTTCATCACATGGACGTCAAAGCGGCGTTCCTTAGCGGCGACTTGAAGGAGGAGAGGTCTACGTGCACCACCCACGGGATTTGCGATCCCGGCAAGGAGGGCAGCAAGGTGCTCGCTGCGCAAAGGCCCTCTATGGCTTCGCGGGCAGATCAAGGCGTGGAATGCCAAGTTGGATTCCACGCTAAAGGGATGGGCTTCGAGCAAAGCCGTGACGAGGCTGGCCATCTACCGGCGGGCGGTGGAGGTAATGCTCTCTGGCGGTGGGTGTCTCGTCGACGACTTGGTGATCACCGGCACCAAGGATGCGGAGGTGGCGGCATTCAAGGAAGAGATGAAGGCCACCTTCCGGATGAGTGACAGGGCCTCTCTCCTACCAGGCATCGAGGTGCACCGAATGACTCCGGATCAAACTTGACGGACCGCCACGCCAAGCGCATCGTTGAGCTAGCTGGGCTCACCGAACGCAACCAGCTCTCACTCCGATGGAGAGGTGAAGGCGAGCCATGACAAAGACGACGGAGGAGGTGGGCCACGCAAGACTCTGCGGCTCTGTGGGGAGCCTTCGCTACCTCGCCCACACACGGCCGGACTTGGCATTCTCCGTCGGCACGTTAGTCGGTTCATGCAATGACCGACGACGGAGCACCAAAGGTCATGAAGAGGATCATCCGCTACGTTGCGGGGACTCGACCACGGCCTCTACTACCCGAGGTGCCCTGAGGCGCACACTTCGTCGGGTGCAATGACAAATGACAATGACGCCCGGCGACATCGACACCGGCAAGAGCACGAGCAGATCCTCTTCTTCCTCGGCAAGTGCCTCGTCGCAATTGGCGGATCGGTCAAGCGGCAGTGGTGGCCTCTGCCATCCGCGAGGCCGAGTACATAGCGGCCTCCACCGCTTCGACTCAGCGCCTGCTCGCTCGATCGCTTGGTGATCTCCTCGGCAGAGACACTAGAGCGGTGGAGCTCTGGGGTGTGACAAGAAGTCCGCTCGACCCGGCAAAGAACCCGTGTTCCTTTAACGCAACAAGCACATCCGGGTGAGGTACCACTTCATCCGAGGTCATTTGGAGGAAGGGAGCATCAAGGCGAGCTACATCAACACCAAGGACCGACTTATGGACTGCTCACCAAGCCCCTTGGGAGGATCAAGTTCCTTGAGCTCTGCCGGGACCAAGGATGGTTCAACTCTCCCACAAGATGACGACAAGACTTAGGGGAGAATGATGGATAAGTCTCATGTGTGGGTTTGGTCTTTGTGCGGCTATCTTTGCTCACATGGTCCTTGTGGCTGTTTTTTACATTTTTAGGACAGCATCTTAGACTAGAGGACAGCATCTTAGACTAGAGGACGAGCATCTTAGCTAGGACAACATATTAGCATCTTCGACTAGCATCTTAGACTAGCATCTTGGCATATGCTTGGCTGGCTAGCAGCCTATAAATATGTAACCCCAACCCCTCAGGTTGGTATGGCATTGAGAAATAAACCAGAAAATTATCCCAACTCCTAGTGTCATCCTCTCTCGATGAGAGTAAGAATTCTACTACTTCCAAGAGTGAGAATTCAGCGACTAACAAAAAGGCCAAGACTACACTATAAACATGATCCATTCTCAAGTTATAAAATGTTCGATGCACCATAGTTTATGAGATATGTTGCTTAATATGTAATGAGATACCTGGCTCGGTTCTGAAGTTTACTCGCACGAATCTGAGGAAAGTAAAAAAAAACAATCATCAAGCAAGTCCTAGCAAATATGATGAAACACAAAATAGAATACTAGAAATTTTATAAAAATTAAAGGATATTTATTGAACAAATCTGATACTGAAGACACCACTATCTAATACATCAAAACAATGCTTTTGTTGCTTATAGCAAACCAAAAGCAAGAGTCAAACTCGAACACTAGTAATAACTTATGCATTCGTTTGCTATACATCATATTTTACTGGGTTTCACAATTGAAGTGCAAGCCAATAGTCGTAAGCAGCTAGTGGGCAGTCACCCCCCACTTGTCATGTGACTGAGAGCAATCCATTTCCACCAGGGCTACCATGGCTGCATGGGATCCAACTGGCACATTTCCTTTCTTATTTTGGTTACTATTTTCAAGTTTCTTACTTTGGTAGACGAGGTACCGCTAATCTATATGAAACAAAAGCGGATCTTTGATGCGGCTTCTCTCTTCCCTCCACAAGCCACGGTTAAGCAGGTATGTGCCCTTAAATGACTTTTAGTAATAATTTCAGTATATGAATATTCTGATTTACAATGATGTGATAACTATATGCTGTGTACGAATCAGCATCTCTAGTTCTAACATAGCTACCATTCCTTCACATAGCTCCTACAGTAATACTGAAAGTTTATAAGTTAGCAATGCCTCCAATAACCCAGCAGTTCAATTAGTGAGCACTTTCATGTAAAGATTAACCATCTATCCATAACCTCAATACTTCTAGAATCAGGTCCTGATTACTACAACGATGAGCACAAACCTCAATATTCAACAGTGCATTCAAACCATCTTCTAGTGCACCCAACAAACATGCATCCTGAAATTGATACAGTTTGCAATCATTGATTGGAACAAGGTAAACATCTAGTGATAAGAGAAAAAACGAGGTATAACCCTAAGCTTACCAGGGTGCATGGTACTCCACAGACAAGAAATTTCATGTTCACATCTTCATCATAGATTCTTATAGCTGGGAAACCTTCAGAACAGCCTTCTTCCTTGTTCACTTCATTCCCAGCAGGGATGATATTTGTTTTTGGAGCATCCCCAAGTAGGCGGGGGCCAAGCTTAACACTTTGTACATAATTATTTCTTACACGGTATAATCGAAAGGAGGCATGTGCAAGTTGAAAGGCATCCCATGTATGGCTGCAGGAACTATAACCAGGAATATTAAACTGTTAGGTGTGAAACAAAATAAAATGGCACTGATCAATAATAATTTATGATGCAATACCTCTGAATGACTGACATTAACGCATGACGAAAATGAATGAGATGCTGTATAAGATGAAAATGAATTCCTCCAATATACCACATATGGTATCCCCTGAGTGAAAGAATGCTGACATCACATATTCCACAGTTAGCACCAAAAAAAGTTCAAGAAAATAATAGCCACTTTGTTTTAGGGAAAAATAGCTCATTAACACTATAAATTATCTGAAGCATAAATGGTGATATCTAAATACTACAAAAAATTATAAACATTCGAACAATCAGTACCACCTATAATTGTTGAAATGAGATACTCTATCCGTTCCAAATTGTAAAACTTTTTGGCTTTTCTAGATACATTGCTTTTACTATGTTACTATGTATCTAGACATAGTGTATATCTAAGTGCATAACAAAAACTATGTATCTAGAAAAGCCAAAACGTCTTACAATTCTAAATGGAGGGTGTAACATACTATAAACACAATGGACGTGACTTCTGCAAAATCAAGAAACAAAATAAGCGAGAAGGAGGGAGGAGTGTGCACTAACTCCAGAGTAACTCTTGCAAATGTACAACAAGAACCAATTCCTTAAAAAGAGATAGAAACAATTATTGAAAAAAGTACCTTTGAATGAAGTGACTGGGCAAGCTTTTCTCCAATGGGAACCTCCAAATAAACCTGCGTTAGCATTTAACATATTAATAACTATATTGCAAAAGAAAAAAGGGCGTACCCAGTGCAGAGAGCTCCCGCTCTGTGCGGGGTCTGGGGAAGGGTGTCAGTGGCAAGCCTTACCCAGTATAGTATAAATTAAATTAAATTAAATTAAATACTCCCACCAACCAGCTTTGTTAATTGTATAAGCAAAAAAAATCCAAGATTCATCAGCATATGTGGACATAGTCACCGCTTTGGCACTTTTTCTATGTTTGAACACGGGCGTCAGTTTCGTACTGCATGCAGGCATGCAGGAATTGCTCCCAAAGTTAATGCACCATCATTGTTCTCTTGTTTATTTAAAGCATGCGTGCAACATGTGCTAACGGCAGGCGGACACTAACAGAAACGCAGCATCCTCGCCGTTCTCTCACTTATTTAGATAGATGCTTTTACTCCGTCCGATTAATGCATTGCGGGGAGGACACTTCTCTCCTTGGTCTCTGTCTGCAGAGTTTATACGTCGATCATATTTAGATGGAGGGAGCAATAGCAAGACACATACACAATCTCGATTATATTTGGATGTAGCGAGCAATAGCAAGACACATACAAGATTATAGAAGATACTTAACAATAAGAGAGATGCTACACTAAGCATCCAATCAACATGCAACAAGATCACATACCCGTTAATTTAGCCACATCAATTACAGAGTAAGTCAAAATAATGCAAACTGAAACACAGCAATTTAGGTCACAATACCAAACAAGAGCATTATCAGAACTAACACTGACCAGCAAATGTAACTTTTAAATAACCACAGTATATCCAGAGCTAAGGTAATAATTCCCTGGAAGTCACAAGATCAAGTTTGTCCCTTATCTCCTGGCCATACAGTGTTCAGATGAACTCCTAGTTCTTGACTGGTGCAACACAGTTATAGTGCAGTACTGATTGTCATGCTGGGCTTCCTTTTTCAAGGCTCAAATATGAAATTGTAAATTGATGTGCACTTTTGCACCTCATGTTCACCAGTCAAGTAAGAACAGATGATACACTAAATTATAGCAACAAATACATGCTATTTATCTATTCAAGAAAAGCTTGGAGCTTACCATGGTCGGAAATGGTGGGGTGATGAGTGAAACAAACATCTACGGGTCAGATAAATCGGTATCGCCCCAGACAAGTGTGCCAATCTCCTTCTCATTCTCTTGCTGCTGCCCCTGAAGATACAAGAAGACAGGATGCACCGCCTGCTGTGCCTCTCTAAATTGCTCCAAAGTGGGATTGATTAGTGTGTGCACCTGCATCCCCGAAGTCCAGCTTTAGTTTGAACTTATAACTCAAAAACAAACATCTGCCTCTACCACACCACACAGCAATACGAACTGACCTCCAATCTCCCAGACGAAGCGAGCTCCGGGAAAGGGTATGACAGCCACACCCGCTTTGTGTCTGGCACCAGGGGAGCTGGCGTCTGCCGCTTCTCGGCAGACTCCCAACAAAGAACAGCTAGGAGTGTGCATTTTCGCCTGGTGTTCTGGACTTGAGGCATGGCTGCAGAGACAAACTAACTGCCGGACCTCAGCTCAAGTCACCACTGAACCTGCAACAGGAAAATTGGGAAATGGATAAACAAACACCGCAAAATCAAAGGAAACCCACCACAAAAACGAATCAATCCACACACCAGATGAGCACGGGGGGGGGGGGCGGCGGCAAGGACGCCGGTAACGGCACGACCGGAAGCAGGTAGGTTAGATTTAGGGGGAGTAGGAAGAGCAAAGCGAGGGGAGGACGGAACCCTAATCTAGCCGCGACAACAATAACACGATTTCCCCACCAGAATAGAAGGCAAGTGCGGTGGCGGATCCGTGAATCGAGAACGAGCCTCCGTCCCAATCCAATCCAGTCAAATAAACATTACACTGATTGTCGAAAAAAATTATAAAAAAACAATAAAACGGCATCAACTCCTCCCCGTTCCCCGTTTCGATCCTCGCATCTACCAGGGGTTTAACACCGAGCAGGTAGGGATCCAAAGGAAGACGAACCTGGCGAGAACGTGTGCTGACTGGTGAGGGGGGCAGAGCAGAGGGCGAGACGAAACGTTCGGATTGGGATATCGCCTCGCCTTGTAGGCCGTATAGGTGCGTGCGCGTAGGTGGGATTCTTCTCGCGGATCCGCTTACTCCCCCGTTCCTGTGTGCGGGCTCGGCAACGAGGATTTCATGACGAATCATTATTCCTGTAGAGTGAGGAGGGATAGAAAAAACAAGGGGCGCCGATTAATTACCTTCTGGATTTGGAATCGGGAATGCGAGGAAGAAAATAAAAAGGATTTTGTTTTGATCTACGATGAGATGGATGATACCTGCTGCGGCTGCGGATGCCGCTGCACGAGACCACGATCCGACGCCGCTCTGGTGTCGTTGGCGCGGTGGATTTTCCACGCCCTTCGCCCAACCGAAACTGCCTGTTTGCTTGCTCCTTGTTTTGGTGCCGCATTCGCGGCCTGGGATGGGACTCGTGCGAGCGTCAGAGCGTGCCGTGGCAGCGTCGCGGTGTGGTTTCTGCGGTGCTGTTCGCGAGATATGTGCGCCCAGCAGCTCGCTCTGACGTGTTCTTCGTCCTCCCGAGCATTTTTTTTCCTTTTTTAAAAGAAGAAAGAGAAGTGCCATCATAAATAAATAATCCAATTTCTGTATTACAGAAATGGGACACAATATACCCACTGTTCGTTTTAGTCCAAAACCAAGAGAATTGAAAGGAATCGAGGTGATTCCTACAAGTCAAAATCCTCCTCAATCTCTTCAATCCTTCCCCTAATTCTTATGGTTTAGGGATGAAACAAACAAGGCATCAATGTTCTGAAGTGCTTGCATGGTAGCATAATTTTCATGCGGAGTCATTCAAACTTACTAATTCATGGTGCGGACCGACGTACATGCTTCACTAGCTTATGAGCTATTCTATTGATCTATCGTGGAATCTTACAAAACTGAGAATCTTGAACTTCAAAGTTTGAAATAATTTGAGCAATTGAAGGTCGGAGCTCCCAGTGAACATACGGTTTGTTGTAAAGGATCTTGTTTCTCTGGAGTATCCACAAGTAGTTAACAATCTGAGAACATGAAATCACACTAAACAAGTCTTACTCTCCTCCATACATTTTTGTGTAGTATATGGTCATGGGCGAAGGAATGTATCACTTCTATTCATTAGTTTATAATGTTGTGTCATCATTTTATGCTGTTGTGGCAAAATAATAGAGAAGGAATATAAGAAATGGGTTTTATCTAAGTGAAGCTAGGTATACGAAGTCTCTAAGATTATGAAACATGTTGAAACAAACATTGGGGGCGCGGTTCCATTCCATCCCACTTCGATCCTATTTGTCGAACTTAAATGTTGTACTAAAAACAACCAAATTAATAAAAACAATGCACTAGAAGGAGTTGTTTTATTCATCAACTCGAAAGCACTCTAGATGGCAAGGCATTCTTAGAAACAATAAAATGGAACATTTGGTTTGATTTTCAAGAAACATATGGGCGAGAAATTACTCCATTGGGATTAACAAGAGTATTACCCCACCTGACTCTAATGATCATCAATTAAATACTCTTCTGCATGTGTAGAGCATTATTTGGAAACACTAATATGAAACTCTCTCCTATGATTGGCCTTAGTGTTTGATTTAACCGATTCCTAGGAGTCCTTATTCTCCTTTTCTAGCCAACCAGACATCTTTACTATATGCACTATTGTCTACAATTTGAAGATACTAGATGATTCCCCATGTGTTATTGTGAGAATTAGGGACATAAATTTTAGATAAGAATGGGATGAATGAAGCAAGCAGTAAAGTAGTTGGGTATTTAATTAGGAGGCTAGAATATCCGAAAAAAATTAGGGGTTTGAGTTACAAGTGGCTTGAATGGAGAGAAAATTAAGGTGCATATTATGATATTACAACATAAGCTATACTAAATGCAAGCGCTTATTAGTATAATACAAACAAATGCGATTATATAGGAATAATTTTATTATATGAGTTATTTATTATTAAAGCTTTTGTTGAACTCCTTGTTGCTGAAAATGGTATGATCACCCTTCTTGATGTAACCAACGTTGATAATATGATGGTTAGGTGGAAGTTGCTTGGCGGTATATTCATTCTAAGATTTACCTATGAGAGTCACATAAACTTTTAGTTCTGCATAATCCTTGAGCTCGTTCATGACGTCTATGTATCTTTTGTGTATCTTCTTGGGAGGAATTAGAGATGGAAAGAATGATGTGAAGATTTCGGAGGCATCCTAGAACGATGTTGTTAGCAAAAAAAAAGATATGAAGGACTGATGAATCAAAGGTCAAACCTCCATTCTACAATCAGGGAGGTGAAGGAAGCTAAAAATGAACTCCCAAAACTCATTGTCAAGCATTTGAGAAGAGAGCAAAACTATGTGGCCATGAGCTCGCACAATTGCCAAAGCGAATGGTTCATGTTGTGGTGGGGCATGATCGTTCTCCTATGTGTGTCGCGAAATTAGTTATTCACACGATTGTAATGAACTTTCTAAGCAGTGAATAGAGCTCTCTTTTCTTTGGGGAAAAAGATATGTATGCAACAACATAAAGTCAAAGATGATACAATAATGATAAAGGGATGACACTCTTAGGAGATCAATATGTGTACACAAAGAATGTAACATTGTGTATAATATAAAAGGGAGAACACGTTGCTATATTGTCAATGCCCCATATGTTTTTACCACTTTTTTCAGCAAAGTAAGTGTCACAACCTCAAAGTAATCCCAAATGAAACCTGACAAAAAAGAAAACCCCTGAGCAACCCAACTCAATCATCACTCCTCTATTTTGAGCTCTAGACCTGAGCTTAAGCCTCAACCCGCTCACTCTTTGGTTTCACCTTGATCTCAACCCGCCCAATGTAACAAGAGAAACCCTCTAGTTTCATGATGAGACTCTGAACCAACTCAATCAAATTCCAGTAATGATGACCATTCCTAAACTCTTGTCGTTCATCAACTCTCACTCCTATATCCTAGGAAGGAGTCTTTCTGAACCTCGACCAATCCCAATCCAAGCAAAAAATAATCAAATGTGTCCAAATGCCAGCTTGGGACCAGGAAGAAGTGGAGTAGGAGGCTCAATCGAAGAACCTGTAACCCTCTCTAGTGAAGTGTCATCCCAACCATCATTACCCTCTGATAAGATGGGATCAAACCAGAGTTCAAGGCAATTCCACATATTGTCCGATGTTTATAGCTTTGGACTGTGTGACAAGCCTTGGTCAACCTTAATTAGTTGACTAATCAACACGGCAGAGTCCACAAGGATCCATTAGACTCTTTGATAGCTATTATCAGACTATTCGATAAAGGTACATAAATTTTGCAAACATGCAAATGGTGCGTTGCCCTCTTCTCCTCCCTCCTGTCCCCACCTATCCGCTCGAGCCTCTCTCGCATATGACTAGATCAACTCTCTCTCTCACACACACTCAATTCATCAGTAGTATCATCCCTCCCTCCCGCTCTCTCTAGAATCAAGACCAAGAAAAAGTAAGAAGAAGCAAGAAATGGAAAAAAATGGAGAAGAAATTCATGCTTGGGGAAGGAGATAAAACTCAAGGCCTCAATCCCTAGGCTAGTCTCAAGTGTAAGTTCCAATCACTCTTCAATCCACTATCATGTCAAAATCCCCAAATCACCTTGTGTTCATATTTTGAACGAGGAAGAAAATGAAGCTCAAGATCTTAACCCTACATCAATCCCAAGTGTAAGTTCCTAATCCTTCTCAATCTACCTCTTGTGATCATCTCAATCCCTCCCTAATCCCTATGTTCGTGCTTGATGAAGGAGCTCCTTCTTGAATCACTTCGCCTTCAAGTAAGGAGTCCCTCATATGGATACGAGAAGACCAAGAGCATGAGCTTGAGTTTGGTGACCTCAATTTCGTGGGTAAGTTCCCCAATAATCACCTTCAATCTTGGTTAAGACATCCAAGTCTAGTTTAACACCTCAACACTAGAGTTGTGAGTGTTGACCAAACCCTAGGCTACACAACACTAGAACACCACCTAGGACAACATTATAAGCAAAAGTTTCTAGTTGCCACTTAAAATAGTAAACCTTAAACTAAGCTCCAATCAATAAACAAGTCTATGTCTAGCAATCACCTACACAAGTAGGAATAACACTTGAACCTATTATGCATTTGAATGCAAGCAATCATATGAGATGCACATTTCAAATGCAACAACCAATTGTTCATGAGCTTGCTCCCCCTACTTATGTGTTTCACTTGAAATTTGATCCCCTTCAATTCTTCAATCTTGCTCTTCACCTCCACTTTGAAAGGTCCTTGTTTGGCTTTGGTAATTGAGTGACAACCTAGGTGGACTAATTGTGTTTAATGTGAGATACACAGGTGGTTAGTCCACAGGTATACTTGTGTGAGCAACTCATGCCATGACAGTGAAGATGGCTTGGATTTGTTGCAAGGCTCACACAAGTGATCAAGGAGCTCAGTGCATATGAGACATGACATGGAGTCATGTGACTAAGGTGGAGAAGATCAAGACAAGACTTGGCTTGATGGACCGGTTGCAAGCGTGAAGGGCAAGTTGGAGGCTTTGGAGCGATGGACCGCGTGGCGGTGAAGCTTGAGCAAGACTTGGCGCCGATGGACGAAGGCAACGGTGAAAAGCAAGTGAGGTCAAGATCGATGAACCAACAAGGTCACGTGATGATATAAAGTGGATCATATCATTTGTGATATGGTTGGTGCATGTGTTGCATCAATGATGGAGGAGATGGAATGTAATGCGCAAGGCCAAGGTATATTTGTAGGGCATTTCATTTCACCCGTCATTGGTGTGTAGAGAAGTTTATGATCGGGTTTAGGATAGATGGTCGTACTATCAAGAGGGGCAAACTTGTTTGCATATCAGTCATCTAGTGCCACTCAAGTGATGTAACTTTGCATCGTTGCTAGGATCGAGTGGCGTGGCAAGTTGAGTGGCTAATCCTTTGAAAAATGATTGTGAAAATGCTAACACACATGCACGTGGTGGTGTACACTTGATGGTGTTAGCACATTTGCAAAGGAGAAGTTGGTGAAGAAAAGAAGTTGAAGGTGTTGGTCACGGGGTGACCGGCCAAGTCCAACATGTGGACCAGATGCGTTCAGTATCTGACTCAGGTGGTAGTGTTCCCGATGTGACTGGACGCGTCCGATATCGATACCGGACGCATCCGGTATTCTGGCCAGGCACGGCCAAAGTGGCCGGGTTGATCGGACTCTGGCTCGTAGCACTGACCGGACGTGGAGCAATCACTGTTCATACGTCAGGTCGTAGTGATGTGGCGCATGGGAGTTGATCCAGAGAGGATCGGACGCAGGGGCGCGTCTAGTCGTCAAAGTTGGTCTCTGGACCCTTACTGGAGTCGACCGAACTCTAGCTGGCCCAGCGTCAG